TCCTTCCTTCCTTCCTTCCTTCCTTCCTTCCTTCCTTCCTTCCTTCCCCCCAAATAACCCTCCATATAAGTTTACTTTTGTTAGCTAACATCTAACTTAGATGTTAGCTATCAAAACTAACATCTAGTTCTTCTGCTTAGTTAATTCTCCTCCCAGTGGGACTGGAGAATTGATGGCTGCAACATTTGTATAGTAAAATATGCAAAGGCCTTTTGGAAACTATGAGGGACCTGTCAGCTTGTTCAATGACCTATTTCACCAGAGAGTTAATGGGAAAATGAAGGTGTTTAAAGTGTACCCTGTTTCATTTCCTTCTGGGTAGAATTCCTCCTGGGAGAGGCCCTGAGCTTACACTTGACTCTAAAATAAGTGTTTTCATAGAGCTGATGAATGAGCAGGAATAGGTGTCTGGTGATTGAAGATAATTCAAGTTTCCCGCCCGAATTTCTGAGGAAAATGTCAACAATAGAGTTAAAATTTATGGAGGCTTCAATAGCTCCCACAGGGGAGAAGGAAGGGATATGTATGTATGTATGTATGTATGTATGTATGTATGTTATTCAGCTTTGTTTGGGTATTTTCCCACGTCATTATAGTTGTGCTTTAAAAGCACAACTATAATGACGTGGAAAAATACCCAAACAAAGCTGAATACCATATATATAAATACCTGTGAAAATATATATTTAGCGAAGTAGGGCTAAATTAGGCTTTGATCCAAGGTCATACAAATTTTCTCCCAAGTCTGCTTGCTCTTCTGCTAAAATCTGGTCCCTCTTTATCCAGTCACGTAGTTATCACTAGATTGTTGAGCCTATGCAATATTAATTATGACAAGTAGATTGATTGCTCCATCAAATTACAAAGCTTTCTTCCCTTTTCTCCAAGCTGACATCCCCCTCTTTTGCTGTCACTCCTCAGGATATGAGAAGTAATTTTCTCTCACACTTAACCTTATGGCAAGATAACAGTTTGTGTAGCAAATTCAAAGCAAGCCTACACTATGCTTGACATTGTTTCTGGATTTCTTCAGCCAATTCCCGGAAGAAATGGACAAAGAATAAAAACAAGCTAGGAGTAATCCAGGATTCTGGCTTCATACCTAAGGATCAACTGCATTTAAAACAAAGTGGGAGTAATGATTTCCAGTTATGATTTGTTGGTGAAAAATAAGCTGTGTTTTTCTTTTGTGAGCTGCCATATTGAAGCAAGCCAAACAAATCAGTCCCTTTAGGCTGTAACGTTTCGTGCCAACCAAATCTCTTGTAGCCAAGACTGATCTCTGATTAGCAATGGCTGTGAAGAAGTATGGGCAATTATTTTCCTCACCACTCAGGCTCAAGGAACCAGAAAGGACATGATGAGCTGATCAGAGCGGTACGTTTATGGTTGCCTATCTATAGGCAGGAGTCCCACCAGACCAAAGTGCTCTTACTAGATAAATTCTGCAAAGTTTTAAGGAGGATCACTGTAGAGGACCAGGCTGAGCTTGCGGGAGAAGTTAAGCATGTCACCAGTCTCGAGTCCTTTCATGCCCACAAGAGATCTAATTCCAGTCCACCTTGAATTCCATTGACTCTTCACTACCACCAATTTGCTTTGACCATTAGTAGTTCAGGTTCTTGTAGGGAGTGTTAGCATGCAATCAACCTATATTCATTGAACCACCTTCATTCCTGATGTCCTGCACTTGACAATCTCCCTTCGGTCACTTCCTCCACACAAGCCAATAAAGCTAGTTAGTAGGTTCAGTCCTCCCCTCAACTCAGTGCCAAGATCCACCACAAGGTTCTTTTTACTAGATTGAACTAAGAACCTTCTACCAGCAAGATAGATTGTCGGGAGCTCAAATTCTACTGGGAAATGGCTACCATCTTCAGATCAGGACCATACGTTCTAGGACCCAAGACCATAAAATTGACGATCTTTGAGCTCCAGGCTATCTAGATAATCTGTCCTTTCATAACCTGCATCTTCTAATGAATTGATCTTCCCAGTCTCTGAATTGTAATCTCCTGTAAATCTGCAATAGCATTCTATGGGGACTGAAAAGAAAGACAAGGAATGCCACATTCTGTGTTAAAGTCCTGTCTCTTCAAGGACTTTCCCTCTCGAAGAAGACTCTTGGAAGAAGACTCTTGGAAGAAGACTCTTGGAAGAAGACTCTTGGAAGAAGAGAGGATTCCAGCTTCTGATTTGGGTGGAGAGCAGGTCAATGTAGCTTCCTATGTTGCTGTTGTATTCCATCGATGTCTTATCAAGACCTAGATTATATTACTGACCTGTGGGTCCTTCCCTTAATTCAGGGGTCTTCAAACTTGACAGCTTTAAGACTTGTGCACTTCAACTCCCAGAATTCCTCCTCCAGTCATGTTAGCTCAGGAATTCTGGGAGTTGAAGTCTTAAACTTGCCAAGTTTGAAGACCCTTGCCTTAATCTCTTTCCTTTCACACTGCTCTTTAATTCAGTTGTTTGCAGCAATCCAAATTATTTTATGTGTATCAGTGAGAGATAATTCTGAACATCATTTTCAAGTAATCATATTGGTCTCTGTAGGGATGAGTTGAAACTGTACTCAGGAGAAACGAGGATGCTAAGAGGACAGAAGAAGAACGGTTGTCCTAGGATATACTATGAAAAATATGAGAAGAAAAATCCGAAGGTTTTAAGATAAATGGAAATTGTATTTCATTCATACCCAGATCCACATCTGAAGACAAGCAATCAATTTAGCAATTTAGCTGGATCTTTGGATTACAGAGGTATCCCAGCCTTGATTTTACTAACACTTTGCCAGCAGTGAACCAGTTTTGAAACACAAAATGTAAAAATTATCCAGATTTAAAAAATAGGGACGAGGGTTAAAAAAATAAAAGTTCACTTTGAGTTTCCCAACCTCAAAGGTGCCTCTTAACTAATATGACTCCCCCACCTTTAAAAATAAAAAAGGAATAATTTTACGTAGCATGGTTTTGCAATTAGCCTTCTTTTTGGCAACGTAGCTAACTACCATTCTATTAAACGCTTCAACGTGAGCAATTCAAGAAATCTTTTGACATGGTTGATGAGAAGACTAGGTGTACACTCAGGGAAAAAGTGAGACATTTGGCAAAAGTATCGCGTTGGGATTACGACAACCTTACGGCGCACCGGCCTGGGTTTTATGCGATTTTAATGGCGTTTTCATTCCTACCTACAATTACTCCAGCGTATAGCAGTGTAGCCACCTGGGTTAAAAACAAACACACCACACCTAAGAAAATGGCCCTCTTTCTGCCATTTTCTTCTACCGTGGGGGAAAAAAAATCTGTATCTGGAATTGACAAGTTCTGCATCATTAATATTTACTGCTATATTTTTTGGTATTTTTCCCCAGAAGGGAAGGGTGAAATGTTTAATGTTGTCTGAGCATCAGTCTCTAGTATTTCAGCTCTCTCTCTGTGTGTGTGTGTGTGTTTGTAAGGTTTTTTTTGATACTTTTAGAGTTTAGTGATAGCTTTTAGTCCTTGTTTTACTGGAAATTATTATTTAAAACCTCATTTGTATAGTACAGAGTTCCAATAGGAGAATATATTTGTAATGAAAATTGTTATTAGAAATTACAGAGCACAAATTAGAACCGGAAACATTCTTATTAGGAATAATTAAGGGAAAATTAAGCAAGGTCAGCCGATACATCATTTTACATATCATAACTGCAGCGAGAATAGCCTTCGCACAGGGATGGAAGAAGGAAAAGATACCATCTGAAGAAGACTTGACACAAAACATAATGGATTGTGCGGAACTGGATAAATTCTCAATGGAATTAAGAGGCAAATAGGATTCAGACTATTATGCGGTTTGGCATAGGTGGTACAAATGGGTGGAGGATAGAAATAAGAGCTTATGCTTATGTATAAAAGGAGAGGTATGTATTAATAACGACACGAACACTGTTAATGTGAATAGAGATTTCTATTTTTGTTTCTAAAAAATAAAACATTGAAAAAAAAAGAATATATTTGTAGCTCAGGGTTGACTTACACCAGACCAACAATCGAGCAGTAAACAATACCCCACTGTCAACTTAGACCGGGGGTCAAAAATGTTAGCAACAGGTTCTCTGCCTACTTGCTGGGTGGGCGTGGCCATGGTGGGCGTGGCCTAATCAACCTCCGGCACCACAGTGGGAGGGGAGCGTTTTTGCCCTCCCCGGACTATCTGGAGGCTTTCCTTGAGCCTCCGGAAGGGCGAAAATGGCCTCCCCTGGCTCCAGAGGCTCTCTGGAAGCCAGAAACGGACCCATTCCTGGCCTTCCCAAACTTCCAGGAGGTCTGTTTTCACCCTCCCCACGCTTCCACGAACGCCTTGCACTTACCTGCATCCTAAACAGGCTGTGTGGGGACTCTTGGGAGGAGCAGGGGGGCGGCAGCCAGGAATGGGATTTGGGGGCTTCTCTGAACTGCGCAGAACCTTAGCTAGGGGCCCTCCCAAACCCCCAGCAGCCCACCCCTGACTTAGACAAACAATTAAACAGTAAACGGTTGTGCCCCCCCCCAGTCAGAACCTGAATCTGTGGAGAAGGACAAGCCAGAGCTGGAGCAGAGGGAGATCGAGGGGGTGGCTTCGTTGGCTTGGGAAAGGGGGAATGTGGGGAGGAGCAGGACGAGGCAGCCCAGGGCCTCTCAGGATTGGGGTGGCTTGTTAGCAGGGAGGAACAGAGGCAGGATGACGGAGAGAGGGCAAGCAGTGGAAATTTGGAACATTAAAGGGGAGTTTGAACTCTCAGCTGGCTGAGTGGCCTTTGTGCCTTGTCCCGGGTCATCACACTAAACAATAACCTAATTAAGGAGCCACCAAGAACACTCTCACCAACCCTAGTTGATTGCAAGCCAGTTGTATATAAACAGAGAGCAAACCCCACTCCCCTCTGGCACTGATGATGTTACCTAGCTGGGTAAGGAAATGTCTGCAAGAAAACAATCAGAGAGCACCAAGGACTCCACTATTGTATTTATACAATAGAGATTTATAAAGGGTTTTTAAAATTTTTTATAAAGGTATATATGGTATGGAAAAACATTCTTTCCTTCATTTTCTAGGACTTTGGGCCCCTGAATGAATCTGAATTGGGGAATAACACCTCATTTCTGGTTGTAAATAGGATCACTATAGCAGAGCAACCAGGGTACATAGAAAACTGTCTATAGAGTACATATGAATGGAGACTTAAAACCGACTTATAGTGATTTAATGATGCCAACTTACAATGCTTCTTTTATGGGGTTTTTTTTTAAGGGAGCCTAACTAATGCATTTCAAACTTTAGGAAATGCAGCCCTGCTACCAGTAATAATTAAAAAGTGGCATTTGGCTGCTTGCCTAGAATCTGACCTATTTATTTTTTTCTGATTTGGAAAGAGGCGTTCAACCATCTAGATGGTCCACTTTCCTGAATAACAAAAAGAAAAGGAATCAAATGAATGAGTTGAAACAAGGCAAACCCAAACAACAGCAGCCAAATTACAGGGTGACCAACAGCTGCCCCAGCATGGAAGTGGGCAAAACAGAGAGATCTGCCAAAGTTGCATAACTTGGAAATTCAGTTCTCCTGACTTCTGACACCTACTTAGCACTAACCGCCAAGGCTTGGCAAAGGTTTTCAAATTAACTCATCTAAATAAACATGCCCTATGACTGCTATGGGCGATTTTGCTCTTCTGCTTGGGAACTGTGCTGCAGCTACCAAAAAAGCCAACACAGTCCTAGGCTGCATTGACAGAAGGATAGAAGAATCATGATCATGTGAAGTTTCATACCACTTTACAATGCCTTAATAAGGCCACACTTGGAATATTGCACCCAGTTTTGATCGCCACAACGTAAAGAAGATGTTGAGACTCTGGAAAGAATGCAGAACAACAAAAATGTTTAGAGGACTGCAGGCTAAAACATATGAAGAACAGTTGCTGGAATTGGGTATGTCTAGTTTAATGAAAAGAAGGACTCGGGGTGACATGATAGCAGTGTTCCAATATCTCGGGGGCTGCCACAAAGAAGAGAGAGTCAATCTATTCTCCAAAACACCAGAAGGCAGGACAAGAAGCAATGGATGGAATCTAATCAAGGAGATAAGCAACTTAGAACTAAGGAGAAATTTCCTGACAGTTAGAACAATTAATCAATGGAACAATTTGCCTCCAGAAGTTGTGAATGCTCCAACACTGGAAGTTTTTAAGAAAACATTGGACAACCATTTGTCTGAAATGGTATAGTGTTTCTTGCCTGAGCAGAGGTTGGACTAGAAGGCCTCCAAAGTCCCTTCCAACTCCTGTTAATTTGCTACAAAGGATTTGCATGCTTCTTCCAAAACTGCTCTGCTTGCTTGTTGCTTGTCTCTGAAACTTTGGCAAACCGCATACTGATCTATCAAGTTGTTTCGTGCAAGAACCATTTCCCTTCCATCTGTTTTCTTTACACTATGGATCTTCAGTAGGCTTACTATGCATCACTAGTTTTCCTCTGTATCCTGCTTCTTACAGAATTTCTCTTTCTCAGAATTTTTTGGGCATTCGCCACCATACCTTTTTTCCACTGAGTTATTTGACTCTCACTTCACACATCTATTCCAAGCAACTGTAGGTCCTTATCAGAGGAAACAGATTGGGCAAATGGCTTCTTGAGAGGCTGAACTTGCTACTGAGGGTTTTTAAAAAATGGGAAAGGAGGTTATTTATTTTTATTTATTTATTTGATTTGTCAATTGTTTACAAGATAATAAGTACAAGTGTATACATAGTTGTGAATATATGAAATGGGTACATATAAGAAAAATAAAAGAATAAGAGAAACAATAGGACAGGGACGGTAGGCACGTTGGTGCGCTTATGCACGCCCCCTACAGACCTCTTAGGAAAGGGGTGAGGTCAATAGTAGACAGTCTAAGGTTAAAGTTTTTGGGGTTTGGGGAAGAAACTACAGAGTCGGGTAGAGTATTCCAGACATTGACCACTCTATTGCTGAAGTCGTATTTCCTGCAATCAAGTTTGGTGAGGTTTACTTTGAGTTTGTATCTGTTGTGTGCTCTTGTGTTGTTATGGTTGAAGCTGAAGTATTCATTGACAGGTAGGACATTGCAATGTATGATTTTATATACCATGCTTAAGTCAGACCGAAGATGGCGTAATTCAAGGTTTTCTAGTTCTAGAATTTCAAGTCTGGTGGCATAAGGTATTCTACAACGAGTAGAGGAGTGGAGAACTCTTCTTGTGAAATATTTCTGGACTTTCTCAATTGTGCTAATATCAGATACGTAATGTGGGTTCCAGACTGATGAACTGTATTTGAGTATTGGTCTAGCAAATATTTTGTATGCTCTGGTTAGTAGTGTGATATTACCAGAGAAAAAGCTACGTAGGATTAGGTTAACAACTCTTAATGCCTTTTTGGCTATGTAGTTGCAGTGGGCTCTAGCACTTAGATCATTAGAGGTGAGTATTCCAAGGTCCTTTACAGAGCTTGGGTCATCAACAAGTTCTTGACTATTCAGCTTGTATTTTATTTTCTGATTTTTTTTGCCAATATGTAAGACAGAGCATTTATTTGTTGAGATTTGAAGTTGCCATTTGTTTGACCATTCTGATACATAGTCAAGATCTTTTTGTAGGGTAGCAGTATTGTCTGTGGTATTGAACAGCTTTACATCATCAGCGAAGAGAACGCAGTTGCTCTTGATATGATCACAGAGGTCATTTAT